GCATTGGCCTTCACAACATCCTCTGGCAAAGCGTTCCCCAGGTTGACTATACATTGTGTGAAGAAATACTTCCTTTTTTTTGTTTTAAACCTGCTGCCTATTAATTTCATTGGGTGACCCCTAGCTCTTGTGTTATGAAAAGGAGTAAATAGCACTTCCTTATTTACTTTCTCTACACAAGTCATGATTTTATAGACCTCAATCATATCCCCCCTTAGTCATCTCTTTTCCAAGCTGAAAAGTCCCAGTCTCACTAATATCTCCTCATATGGCAGCCGTTCTATACCCCTAATCATTTTTGTTGCCCTTTTCTGAACCCTTTCCACTTCCAATATTTTTTTTTAAATGGGGCAACCACATCTGCAGGCAGTATTCAAGATGTGGGTGTACCATGGATTTATATAGGGGCAATATGATATTTTCTGTCTTATTTTCTATCCCTTTCTTAATGATTCCCAACATGTTGTTCGCTTTTTTGACTGCCGCTGCATATTGACCGCCCTCCCCTCAGTGATTTACCTCTCTGCCCAGCTGCCGGAACAGATGCATCTGAGCTACCGGGGAGAGGTGAGTGAGTACTGGTGCCGCTTCTCTTTACTTCCCCACAGAAATCATTTTCTGCAAGGAAACAAAGAAAATCTGCAGGGGGGCACTTTTCTGCCACGCCACAGTGGTGCAGAACTTCCCCAGGTGTATTGAACACTGGGTCCCACCTTATCTCAGGCTCAGACCCTCCACCCAGGGCTCAGCCCTGAGTTATGTGATTTGTGTGTAGATAGAAGGGGGGTTAGGCTTGTGCCTGGGCTTACATTGCAGTGGAAAGGAAGCTAGTTCAGTGTCTCCCCGCCACTAACTATTCTAGGTCCAAGCTCCAAACTAATAGCTACACAGAAGTGAACATGGCTGTAAAATGACCCCAGAGCTTGAGTCACATTAGGGTTCAGAAGAGAAAAAAAATGACCAATGAGGAGACTTGAGGTGGAAGGGGCATTTGGGCAGAATGATTTAATGCAAAGAGGAATAAACACCTGGGGTGAAGTCCTGGCTCATTAAAGACTATTGACTTAAGTGAAGCCAGGATTTCACCCAGGGGTAAGTTCCCAGAGTAGGTGACTGCATTGTAGTGTTCTTTGTGGACGCTGCAGGAGAGGGTAGTCTCTGCTGCTTCTCTCTTGGCACATTTTAGATATGAAAGTTTTGTTGACTACAGTTTTAAATGTGGGTTTTTCATATACAAAACTCTATCCAACCTCCATTCGTAAACCATTATCCATTTGCTGCTGAGGAGTAAATGGAACCAGTTGTGAATACAGGTAACAGCTAGATCGTTGTGTAACTAGGGTGACCAGACGTCCC